TTTCTTAGAGACAGAATCTTACTTTATCACCCTCGGTAGATAAGTTCACCCTCCAGCTCTTGGGCTTAAGCAATTCTCTTGCCTCAGCCTCCTGCGTAGCTGGGACTACAGGTGTCCACCACAACACCTGGCTATTTTTTTGTTGCCATTTGGCCAGGGCTGGCGCCCTACTCACTGAGCCACAGGCGCTGCCCTTGCTCTGGCTATTTTTTATTCATTCAGTGGGGTTGTCCTGGCAGGCCAACCTCAGTGGGGGAGTTGTGTCAGGCACACGTGCCTACTGTGTGCCAGGTGCTGTATCCACACCAGTGGTTTGTCTTCCCACAGTTTGGTGCATTAGGGATGGTTTGACCCACTTAACATGGGAGGAAATGAGGGTCCTGAGAAGTGAGGGGACTTGCTCATATCACATAGCCAGGAAAGACAGAGCAGGGACCTCATCCAGGCACCCCAGTCTCTGCTACCCAGAGGAGGACCCCTGTGTTGGTTTTAGAGAATCAGGGGGAGGTCTCTCCCTGGGCTGTAACTTTAAGGCCAAGGCATTCCTACCCAGCTAGGGGTGGGAGTGGGGAGTGTAAGTGGCAGCTACGGATAGGAGGAGGGTGAGACCTTGGATGAAGTGGGAACTCTGTGGTTCTGCCGGAGGGGAGCCTTTATCCCTTAGACCCCTGGGTAGCCTGGGCTTGGCACCTCTGCTGTCCTCCATCAGCTTGGGGAGGGCTTATTGGGGGAAGATCTTCCCTTCCCCTCCCTGGCCTCTCTATCCGTCCCTGAGAACTGACACTTACTGCAGTTACCTGCGCCCCTTAATTAAGGCTACATTTTGTGCTGGACTCAGCAGGTCAGAAGAAGTTGGAGTGGTTTGAGTTCATCTGCCTTGGAGGGGGATTAAGGCAGGTCTTGAGGAATTTGCTGGGCAGGGGTCTCCTTGGGCTACAGGGCTGAGGAATGCCAGGGCCAGGTGCCTGTCATGCAAGACCCCACTGCAGTGGCTAGGAAGGAGGGGTTACTCTCTTCATTTATGGATGTGGAAACTGAGACTCCAAAAGGGGAAGGGATCCACCCAAGGTCATGCTCCCAGGGAAGTTCCCAGCACTGCTCAGCCTGTTTTTTGATGACTTTGCCAACCTTGACCGGCTTCTGTGCTGGACCAACGTCTAGAGGTGGAGTCCTTTCACCTGGTTTTGGAAAGTAGTGATTGTGGGCAGGTGGAGGAGGCCAGCAGCAGGTCATCCCTGTGGTGAGGGCAGCCTGAGTGTCGGGCTATGGAGCAGGGCGTACAGGTGGCTGTGCCCCTTCCCCCATCCTGCCCTGTCCTACCTCCTTTTCCCTGCAGGGTGAGCTGGACCTGCCTGAGCCCATGTGTGTGGGGGACCTGGGCGAATGCTTCTTCCCCTTGTCCACTACGGCCATCTCGTCAGGTCCAGAGAACTTCCTGTGTGAGATGGAAGCAATCCCATTCAACCCTGTCCGGTCCTGGCTGAAACATGAGAGTAGTCAAGGTGAGGGGTGGGAGCCCCATCAGCTCCCCACAGCACTCCTAATCTTGGGTGTCTGCTTCACAGAGAGGTGGTTGAATTTTTTCCTTAGTATTTTTGCCAGACCATTATATTTAGACCAGAAAAAACGAGATGAATACCTAATAATAAGAGACAGACTCTTGGGCAATATAACAACGATGAACGCTCAAGATCCAAATAATACAAAGAGATGTGGGTGGCCTGTGGCTCAAAGGAGTAGGGTGCCGGCCCCATATGTTGGAGGTGGCGGGTTCAAACCCAGCCCTGGCCAAAAACTGCAACCCCCCCCCCCAAATAAACAAACAAACAAAACCCAAAGAGATGAAATAATTATAACAGAAACTTCAGCTAAGGGAGCCTTCATGCTGAGCTTCCTAGCAGCCATGGTGAAAAAGGGAAATAGGCACACACAGCTAAAGGATGGCTGCCAGATTATTGAGGTGTTTTTCTAGAGCTGAATCTGAGAGGTGTTTATCCCATAAATTATCATACAAGTTGCCATTGAACATCAGAAAGCCTAATGTCTTCAATAGCCATTAAAAAAAATGTCCTGACACTTATACCCCGAGCATCCTGTTTATGCTTTGGGCCCATAGCTGGGCAGGAGGACAGAGGACTGAGCTGGCCTGTCCACAATTTTGGCTCACCTCTGCCTGCAATCCTCTTGGAAGGTGATAGGAATCTGGTTTCATGGCACTGGCTGGTCGTGGGGTGTTAGAGAGATGAGTAGCCTACCAGAGAGGGTCCCCCAAGACCCTGGGTGCACCCCGTGTACCTTTCTAGGATCCCTGCATTGGGCGCCTCCCAGGAGGTGGGGGTAGGATGACTTTTTCAAGGACCCTCCCTAAAGCCAGTAGCCTCCCAGCTGGACATGATGGCTAAGATACTGAGACTCCAAACTTCCTGAACCAAAAGTCAGGCCTGAAGTCTGAGTGAAATCTCATCCTCTTTAGTTAACCATTTGTTTACATTTTCCTTAAATAACAAGATGGTATAAAATAGGAATCCTGCCTGAGGGCATTCAGGCTCTCCAGCCATCTTGGGCATATATTTACACCTTCCCAAATTCCTTTATCCCATCCTGCAAGGTGCTAAGGGGACTGTGGGCAGAGACATATCCACCTGCCCCTGGCTTCCAGAGTGCCTGCACCCTGTCCTTGCCTCTCACTGTCTCTGCAAAGCAGGCCAGACTACCCTTCCCTTTCAGTGCAGGGCCAGCCCCAGGGTGGACACACCTCACCCTGCCTGGCCAGTCCCTGTCAGGGTATCAGGACCTGAGGGGTGGCTAATTCTTTTTTTTTTTTTTTTTGCCGGGGCCAGGTACAAACCTTGGTATATGGGGCCGGTGCCCTATTCACTGAGCCACAGGCGCCGCCAAGGGTGGCTAATTCTTGTGGGCATCCACTGTGTGCCCAGTGCTGGGCTGGGAGCTCTACAGCCATTTTTTCTGCTTACTTCCTTGAGGTAGGCATCTTGGCCCCTTTTACAGAGGAAGAGACCGACGGGTCAGCGCTTGAGCCTGGCCCTGCCTCCTGGCTCCAAGAGCTGTTTTGCTCAGTGCTTGTGTTCTCAGGAATCACACTGTTTGCTCAGTATTTCTCTCTTGTGTTCACGATGGGGAAACCAAGGCTTAGAGAGGGGGATGTACCCATGGTCTCTTGGTGAGTTTGTCAGGTGGCCTCTCCCTGCCTGTCCAGTGAGACCAGTGCTCAGCACAACCTCTAGGGGCCCACCTGCCAGCCTGAGACCACTCCCCCCAGTTCCATCTCCTCCCTCTCCAGCACTACCCTCAAGACCCTTCTCCCCGGATGCCTCCAGCCCACTCCTGCCCATGCCACCCGAATTCTTCCACCCTGCTGTGTCCGCCAGCCAGAAAGGGCAGGAGAAGGGCACTGGCGCTGAGAGCCTCCCCAAGATCTCCCTCCAGGGCTCCTGGGCATCCCTGCGGTCGCCAAGTGTCAACTGTACCCTGCTCCGGCAGGTATGGGCACCTCCAGGCTCCAGAGAGCTGTCCTGCAGGGACATTTGAGCCTGGGGGGGAAGGGGTGGCCAGAGGCACAGGGGCATGACCCCATGACTGTGCAGGGGCATTGGGGGAGATGCTGAGATTGGAGGTGAATTCAATGGGCAGGGCCAGGTTCTGGGGCACCTGGGGACAGCAGTGTCCCTAGCAGGTAGGGTCTGAGTACGGTCTGTGGGCTCTAGCTCGAGGATAGGGGGAGGGCTTCACAGGGTGATGGGGGTGCTAGGAGGACACCTTAGGTGCTCTGGGTGGGTGTGGGCAGGGGCTCGATTACTAGAGATGGACTAGAGGGCAGGCCTAGGTGGTGGGAGTCTCGGCCTGCTGGGTCCCTGTGCTGAGTTGGCTGGGGCCAGAGCCCTTACATCACTAGGCACACAGAGGGCCTGGAGCACAGAGCAGACCTACCAACTCCAGGGTGCATCTCATGATCATTTATTCATTCAGTGGCTGTCTGTCCTCCCTTAAGTGTTGGCTGCATGGCCAGCCAGCAGCAGGACACAAACTCTTGGCTCCTGGGCTGACAAGTGTAATGTGGCAGGGGTGTGGGGGAGAGGGGATGAACCAAAATCAACGCTTGGAAAGTAGAGTCCACTCCACAGTGGTGCATGCTAGGGAGGTCCTCAACCAGAGAGGGGCCTGGGGTGCTGACAGTTTGGTGGTGAGGAAGCCAGTGGGAAAGGCCAGGGGCGTGGGGCTGGGTGGGCGGCAGCAGGAGAGCTGGTGGGATGGGTGGGACAAGAGGCTGAGGGGGCTGCAGGGCTGAGGCTCTCACTCTCAGGGAGCTGTGACTGGCAGGGCTGGGGTCTGACTTGGGTGTGAGAAGGATGAGGCCATTGTCCCCTGAGGACTGGGGAGGAGGGCAGGGGAGCCGGGTCATGCATGAGTGCCAGGAGAGTTGGACATGGTGCAGGGGAGAAGCTGTGTTCTAAAGAGAGCTCCTTCTGGATGGGTGTATTTATGCATGTGCTGGGAAGGGAGGCATTCTGGTCACTGGAATAGGCTTGGGACACTGGATCCTCTCCTGCTTCCCCAAGGCCACTGGGAGTGACACTTCGCTGGACGCCAGCCCCAGCAGCTCTGCAGGCAGCCTGCAGACCACACTGGAGGACAGTCTGACCCTCAGTGACAGTCCCCGGCGCACCCTGGGGCCGCCCGCGCCTGCCATGGGGCCTCGGGCCGGCCTCTCCCCGGCGGCCCGCCGCCGCCTCAGCCTGCGGGGCCGCGGCCTGTTCAGCCTGCGCGGGCTGCGGGCGCATCAGCGCAGCCACAGCAGCGGGGGCTCCACCAGCCCGGGCTGCACCCACCACGACTCCATGGACCCCTCGGATGAGGAGGGCCGCGGCGGCGCGAGCGGCGGGGGCGCGGGCAGCGAGCACTCGGAGACCCTCAGCAGCCTCTCGCTCACCTCCCTCTTCTGCCCGCCGCCCCCGCCGCCGCCCCCCGGGCTCACGCCCTCCAGGAAGTTCAGCAGCACCAGCAGCCTGGCCACCGGCCCCGGCCGCCCGCGCGCCCCCACCGCCCAGCCCCGCGGCCTGGCCCGGAGCCCGTCTTGGGCCGCGGACCGCAGCAAGGACCCTCCGGGCTCGGGCCTGGGTCCCTCGGGACCGGAGCCGCAGCCACCCCCCGGGGACCTGGAGCTGGGAGACGCAGCGAGCAAGAGGAAGAGATGAGGGGGCCCCTGGGGCCGCGCGCCGTGGCCCGCGCCCCCGCCTGCCCGTCTCACCTTCTTTTACCTCAGGAGCCAGGGAGCAGACAGCAATATTTTGTCCACACCTGGGAATGGCGCAGGGGCCAGCCCAGCACAGGCCGCTGAGATGGCAGCATTGTCCAGCGTCTGGGTTAGCTGAGGCTCAGCGTGGCCCAGCCGTGGCCCAGCGTGGCCCTTGCAGTGCATATACACACATATATATATGCAGATATATATACATAGACAGACATATATATATTTATTTTTTTTACTGAGAGCTTATGACTTCCAGAAAGTGCTAAAGTTGGGGAGCGTGGGCGGTGGCCTGGACAGGGATTTTGTCTCCAGGCACATGGTCTTGCCGGGAATTGGCAGCCCTGGTTTTGGTGTTTTCCCTGGGTTGAGAGTAGTTTGGAGACAGGCCCAGAGGAGAGGTGCAGTTCAGGGTGCATTGTTTTTTTTTGTTTGTTTTTCTCTCTCTCTCTTTAAAGAAACGCTGCTAAGATCCCGCATCGCCCCTCACATGTCAGGGTGTCTGTCTTGTCATTCCTGACTGTCTTGTTTGTTGTGAAGTCTTTTGTAGACACCCCAGAGCACATGAACTCCTTTAGTCAACCAGTTAGATGTCTTTCTTTAGAAAAACCAGGGGTGAGTAGCTGTGTTTTCTTAGGGCAGGGGGTGAGGGTGGAGAATAGCTATAAGGCTGGGCAGGAGACTCCGGCTCCAGGTACGGTCCTGGCCCTGCCTCTGCCCCAGGAAGGCCAAGGGCAGGAAGAGGGGCAACAGGAGAGAGGAAAGGTGAAAGGGATTGAGCAGGCACAGTGTGCTTGGCAGATTGAGGGTACCTGCCTGGTCTACACTGGCTCCCCTGCCCAGGCAGTCACTTGTGTAATTCCTGCTGCCTGTACCTCCAGTGTGGGCCCAGAGCTGTGGTCATTCCTGGGTCATGCTGCCCCAGTCCTAACCAGCTCTGCCCTTGCCCCAGAGGAGTTTAGGGTCCAGCGGGTGTGGCAGGATTCTAGGCAGGGGTGGGGGGACCTGCCTGGGCCTTGAGACTAGCCCCGTCCCTGCTCCGGTTCCCTGACCCCCAGTCGGATCACCTGGAGACCACAGCCTCTGACTATGGTCTATCTGACTGTGAGTCTCCAGCCTCCCAAACAGGTTCCAGATAGGTGTGTTTCATTTGGTCGGTTATGCATTTATTTCAGTATTTATAGAAAAAATAATACATTGACTCTTTAATTTCAGAGAAATACTGTTTAGGTCAAGGCTCGGTTTTAAAAAGTGAGTTGACTTTTTCTTTAATGGCACTTTAAAAATAAAGATTGGGGAACATGTTGGTAGCAGTGATCCACAGATATGACAGAACTAGCCTGAGTTTGGGAAACGCTGTGCAGTTAGTTGCCAAGGCCCCTTTGCTTTGGGAAAGGTCTCCTCTGGGGACTTCAGCAGGCCCTGCCCAGGGAAGTTTATCCCTGTTCCCAAAACCTGACTTGAAATAACTTGGTCTGAGTCCAGGCTGGACTGGAGAGTAGGCTGCTTAAAGGGGCTCTGTTGTCCCCCTGGCTGGCAGGGACCCTGGGGGCCTGGGCACTGTGGCGCAGGGGTTAGTGATAACCTGGGCTTGGTGCATAGGCCTTCCCCTCAGAGCTGAGGGTGTGAGGAGCAGGGAAGCATTGTCAGGCCTACTTTACTGGTGAGGAAACTGAGGCCAGCTGGGCTCCCACAGGGCCCTGGCAACAAAGACGCTGGGGTACTGTGGAGGGCAGCAGCTCAGTGCCTGTGCTATAGAAAAGCAACCCCAGTGTTTCAAAGGTGTGCAGATTTAGAGGGTCCAGGTAGGCCCAGCCTCTGGTGGTACTGTGGTGGTGGGTCCACTTGGCAGGCAGGCCCAGACTGGCTCCTGAGCCCCTATAAGCATCCCTTCTCATCTGAGGAGAGGGAGGCCAGTGGCTCCTTAGTGGCTTGGTGATGCCACTAAGCTCTGGCTCAGGGCTGGCCCAGGAGGGTCAGGGTGTACCCCCTCCATCCAGGATGAAGAGTTCCCTGGGACTCCCCTTGGGGCTGTTATACCTGCTCCAGAGAGCCTTGGCACTGCCTCCTTTTTCCCACCTTGATTGATTGTTTTATCAGGGCAGAGAAATTTGTCTGGGGAAGGGGTGGGGAGGAACAGGCCTGTCTGGTGCCTCTTGGCTGGAGCATCACAGGCAGACACATTTGTGCAAGTCAGCATGTGGGTTGGGGCATCCTAGGTAAAGGGGCAAGTGTGGGCCAGACGCCTTCCTTTGAAGATGGGAATAGCTAGATGGTGAGGCAGAGAAGCTTCACTTGAGGGAGTTGAAAGAAGTGGGGCTCATTCTCAGGGGCTCCCAAATGCTGATCCCAGGTACTTGGCCTTGTGTCTATGGGCCACAGGGACAGGGAACTGGTAGGGAGGCTGTGACTTGCTGGCCAGGACAAGCTGAAATGGAAAGGGTTGAGTGAATGGCCTTTCCTGCCTCAGGCCCATTCCTGTCCATCACAAAAGCACAAACTTACCCTAACCCACACGGGCCTGGCTGTGGGGACAGTAGGGATCCAGGTTCCAGACACCTCAAGCTGTCTGTCTGCATGGAGAGACCCAAGACCAGAATGGGGTCATGGCCTCCCCTGGCCAAATCCACTTCATCTTCCCTATCCTGCCTTCTGCACCAGGCAGCCCTGTACCAGAGGACACAGCACACACACGGTATCAGCCTGTCTACCAGTTTCCCCCTACTTCCTCCCTCTGGGGCCTTCTGTTTCCAGGGCCACTTCCAGCCCCCTTTGCTGCGTTGTGTAAGGGCTTTGGGTCTTAGAAGCTGCTCTTTAGCCCAGATACACATACTTTCTTTGTCTTTGTGCAATAATCTGTGTTGCTGTCAGAGCCTGGGCTGAGCTGAGGCCTGGGAAGAGGCAGAGGCCACCTCCTCCAGGAAGCCCTCGGCCTGGCCCCCCTGCTGTGACTATAGCACCCCAGTCGCTGTACAGTTTCTATGGTGTGAATGAACTCCCCCCGTAGTTGCTGATGGCGCTGGTACCTGCTGGCCCTGACGGCCTGGGTGTAGAGAAGCCAAGTGGCAGCCACCACCAATGTTGTTTTGAATAAAAACCCAGAAGCATATTTAAGAATGTCTCTGTGTGTCTCTGCTGTTCCTTCCACAGTGGGGCAGGTGTCAGGCTGGGGCTTCTCCTGGGGAGAGTGGTGGCATGTTCTCTTCTGTGCTCTGGTTGTGTAGCCTGAGGCATCAGGGACCTAAAGATAGGCCACATGGGAGGGTCATGAGTGGGGGGACTGGCAGGGCTGGGGAGCTGTGGCTGAGATGACAAACCAAGGTGAGAGGGTCATATAGAGAGAATAATCTAGTCACTCTTGGCACTATTTCCTGAACAATCATTATGTATTATCAGGGCTATTGACTACAAAGGACAAAAACCCAACTCAAATGGGCTTAAAAATGAGAAGAAAAAGCAAGAAAGGGAAGAGGAAAGGAGAAAAGAAAAAAGGGAAACAAAGGAAAAGAGGAAAGAAACAAGGGAAGGAAATAACTTCATGGCTCAAGTTTAAAATGAATAAATAAATAAATAAATAAATGTCTCGGTGCCTGTAGCACAGTGGTTATGGCGCCAGCCACATATACCCAGGCTGGCGGGTTCGAACCCGGCCCTGCCCAGCTAAACAATAATGACAACTGCAATAGAAAAATAGCTGTATTCCCAGCTACTTGGAAGGCTGAGGCAAGAGAATCACTTAAGCACAAAGTTTGAGGTTGCTGTGAGCTGTAATGCCTTGGTACTCTACGGAGGGTGACAGCTTGAGACTCTGTCTAAAAAAAAAAAAACAACCAAACCAGGGGTGGGGTTGGCTTCAGGTATAGCAGATCCTGGCTCTGCTTCCTTCTGTATTTGCTTCCCTCTTCTCCTAGCGGCCACCAGCAGCCCCAGGCTTTGGGCCTGTATGGCCATCCCCAGATGACTAACAACATCTCCCTCCAGCAGTCTGGCAAAGTCCTTGGGGAGGCCCCTCACTCAGCCTCACTTGGAGTTGACTTGGATATGTGCCGGGGAGATGCAGTGCTCTGACTGGCCAGGCCTGAACCATGAGCCCACTCTGGGGGATCCAGGGATGGGGGATCCACCTGCACTGTGGCCTGAGAGTAGGAGATGGAGAAACACCTCAGGAAAACTGGCATGTGCTTCCTGGGAGCTAGGACTGAGTGCTGGGATCCTCCTCTCCTAGGTCTCATCCCTGCCCTTCGGGAGAGGCCAGAGAGGCCCAGGAAGGCCCAGAGACTGGTCGCCTGATGTTGACAGGCTGGGAGAGCAGGAGTGGCAAACTGGTGGCCAGAGGGCATGCCTAGGCCCCACCAGCCTCATCTGCACCTCCCATTCCCATCACATGCCCTTTCCTTCCTCAGTGGTTGGCCAGGCCTTAGCCTTGTAGGAGGACGTCAGACAGCAAGTGTGGCTTCCAGCACAGCCCCTCCCTCTCCAAGGACCTGTCCACTCTAAAGAAGGTGAACTGAGGCCACCGTGCAGGAAGGCCTATTCCCCTGTCTGTCCCCCATGACCTATCATCACCCTTGCCCCACTCCCCTCTGTTTTCCTTATTTCTGCTTTGTGACCCCCTTTTTGGTGGCTGCTGCCACTCTTGGAAAGAACAGAGAAATCAATGCAGGCTCCTCTGCTGTCTGGCACAGAGTGGGTGACTGCAGAGGCTAAGGCCCTAGCCCAGGGCAGGAGCTTGGAGCCCAGAAGGCCCCACTGCTGTGTACTTCTGTGTATGCATTGGCCCTTCTCTTCTCCTATAAGCGCCCCACTCTTCCTGTCCATTGGGTGTCCTGACATCGGTTTCTGTTCCAGACTGCAGATAGTTAAAAACAGTCTTTGCTTAAAGCGTTGAACCCCTAAACTGGGCAGGCATGTGGGGGACACTCTGGCAGCCATTTCCCTGCAGAGGCAGCA